TCTATTTTGGTTCATTCAAGTGATAAAAAATGATAAAGCACTGAAATTCAAATATGCAGAAACTCCCTATTCAGAAGCACCAATCTCCGATCACCCACACGGAGAAAGGCGCGGGTATGTATTACCTACTTTGGATACATTCAGGCTGCTCCTACAGCTGCATCCGAATCAGCATTCCGAATACAATCAACTAATGACGTTTTTTTTTTTCGCCAAATTTAATGGTCTGAATGCATCTTTTTCGATAATTATGTAACAGAGAAAGAATTGGGTTTCTTATGAAAAGCAAGTAAGTTCATTTGAATTTATGTCCAAACTTTATTACGTAATCATCGCAGATATCACATTGTAATCGGTGACATAAATATTAACTTACTGGATAACTGTAATATAACCAAAGAATACAAAAATTTAATAGCTTTAAATGGTTTTCCAATAGTTGATAAGATAGAGATAGGCCAGGCAACTAGAGTGACTGATACCACAACCACTCTAATAGATCATGTGATTTGCTCCTCGGCAATAAAATACAGATATAGTGTTAGGGTAGAGGATAGTCCATTATCAGATCATAGGGAACTAAACGTAGAAATAAGAAAAACAGTAAAAAAACTTACCAAAAATGTATCTTAAAACAGTTTTGAAGAAAATAAATATTATAAATAAATCCAAACAAGCAGTCAATAATACAGACTAAATGCTATAAAGGTAATAAATGGATAAACAACGAAGTGCTTCAATTAATGAAAGAAAAAAACCAAGCTTTTGAAAAATATAAACAAAACCCAAATAATATTCCAAATCTTCTTGCCTTTAAAAGACTAAAAAATAATGTCAACAATAAAATAATAAAATAAAGTGACTTAAGAATCGGCACTTCAAAAATAAATGGGAAAGGGCTGGAAATGATGCAACAGTGGAACATCATTAACTCCTTTATGAAAGGTAATTCAAAAGAAAGTTTCACTGAAGAATTGGAAATAGATGGAAGTATCATAATAAATACTAAAGACATTGTAACTTCTCTTAACTTATATTTTTCACAGATAGGTTCCAATATGATCAAGGATGTAGAGACTGAAAAAAATTATGTAAATAGCAACATGACTTTTCCTGAAGTATACAGTAATAATAGTTTATTTTTAACTCCAACTAATGAAGATGAAATTGAAAAGATACTTCTTACTCTTAAGCATGACACAGCTGTAGGTCATAACATATTAGTCGAAGATCTCCTAACCCTCAAAAATTCCATAATCAAAGTAATCGTTAAGTTAGTAAACAAAGTACTCGAAACTGGAGAGTTTCCTACAGAATTAAAGATTGCTAAAATGTGCCCGATTTACAAATCTGGTTCAAAAAAGCTGATGAACAATTTTAGACTCGTATCCTTGATAAGCGTATTTTCGAAAATTGTCGAGTTATTGGAGTCTGCTATTAAATTGAGAATGCTATGTTTTATAACCAGATATGTCGGTCATGATTCATTTCAGCATGGCTTTCAGGAAAACAGTAGCATTCTAAGCGCTACTGTTGGCATGATGGGTATAATATAATAATAGCTGTATTCATAGATCTGCGCAAGGCATTTGATGTTGTAAGCCATAAACTATTGTTGAACAAGTTGCGACTCGGCCTCTCAAGACGTACTTGCAAGATCGGCAACGATATATAGAATCAGACAACGAAAGAAGTCCGGTCATAAAAAATAACTGTGGAGTTCCGCAGGGCTCAGTCCTGGGTCCACTCCTTTACTTCTTGTTTGTATTGAGTTTAAAGGCCGGTTTAGCCAGATAATAGTGCATAATGCACAATTCTTAATTCCTAATGCTTAATTTTAAAACATCAGTTTTATATGTAGCCGTTTAGCCAACTCTTAGTGCGTAATTCGTAATTCACCATTTTAGTTAGGTTAGAAAAATGGGGCGCGAAATTTGAAATGGGTTCATAAACACATTTCAACAAATTTGACAACTATGTATTTCTTATGGGGGATTCAAAAGAGTAATTTTCAAACAGGATTATCTCGGGTTCTGGGCATTTCTTAGTATTTGAACCTATTATACGTCAAACTTTGAACATATTTCTCTACAATTCATGCTCTAATTATTTTTTTAGACCTATGAGTTAAAAATACAAATGGTTTTAATTAAAAGTGTCTGTTTTCCGTGGACTTACGTCGGGTCTAAAGCCAGCTCTAAGAAAGTGAGGTTGTGTGTTGTGTTATGATTGTCGGTTTGAGTTGTTTATTTATTTATTTGTCACTAGTTTAGCCATTGTTTATCGATTTTTTTAGATTATTGAAGTATATCTACTAACCAATTATATAGGTACTTTTTTATTTTATTATAATTATAGGTAGCTACATATATTTATGCATCAAGCAACGACATACGTATTTTGTACAAACATCGTCATCCCAAATTGGTAATATTTTTATTTTAACAATGTTTATTCAATTTTCAAACACTCTCTCAGTTAATTAACATATTAAAAAAACTATTTATACAACCTACTTCCTTTCACATCTACAGACGTTTTTAAAATTGAGTCCCCATAAGACATCAATGCATTAATTTTTTAATTAGGAACCCGCGCCAATTTGAGATTCTAACCTTACTAATATGGTGAATTTAGTGCATAATTCACAATTCACAAAGTTGACCAACTTTTATCTCTTTAAGAATTAAGCACTATATCACAGTAAAATTTGGCCTGTGCGCTTGTGTCTGTCACAAGTGGCAACATTTTCCAGTTTTGCCTTCAACGTCATTGCTTCAACCCTTGTTGTTTACCTTCATCGTGAATAAATAAGTGAAACAATATTTATCTTGAATTAAAATTGATATTTCAATATTGATAATATAATAACAAAGCATAATGCATAAATAATTACGCGCTGTCTAAACACTCGTTTTGCTTGTGCATTAAGCATTGGCTATTATGAATTGTGAATTAAGAATTATGCATTATACACTATTAGCTGGCTAAACCGGCCTTAAGACTTGCAGCACCTTGTGAGGTTTGAGCGGACAGTATTACACCTTCGTAGACTATACAGTCCTGGTTCATGCAGATAGTGATCAAAAGAATCTAGTCGATTTAGCAAATGGTGATTTAGATAGATATTATAATTGGCTGTAATAAATTAATGCTAAATATAGAAAAAACAAAATATATGGTACTTATTAAACAAAAGAATAAACATGTAAATAATATAATTATAAGTAGGTATAAAGGACACAGAATTACAAAAAATGAACAGTATCAAATATTTGGGGCTAGTTCTTGATGAAATAGACTGTGAGATAGGGGCTGTTTAGTGGAGTCATTTTTTTTGTCTGGAATTTTGAGGGCTGAATGTGGCTACTAAGCTGATGAGAATATGGGTGATTTTAATGCCGAAAATTTGGAGAAGAAAAAAATTGATTTACATGAAGAATTTATTTTTAATGATCTCAAATTTTATAGTTTTTAACTAAAAGATTGACATTGATAAATAATTCACTCATAAAAAATACCAGATGCTTTTCAATAACTGAAAAAGTGGGGATGAGTGTCAACTTCCAAGAGAAAAGAAAAGAACCTTTCGCCTTTACTTTTTGTCTGGTAATCGAGAGAATGGAAGGTTTTGTTATGAAAATATCGCTGAAAAATCGCCAGACGGTAATCCCAGTTCGAAGTCGAGTTTTCCGGCGAAATATTCTGTGGACATTTCGAACAGGTGGCAGGCATTAAAACCACCTATATTCTCATCAGCTAACTAACCACATTCATCCCTCAAAATGCCAGACAAAAAAAAATGACTCCACTAAACAGGACCTATCTCAGGGTCTAAAAGCCTGACATGGGCAGAACATATTGGACACATAAAAAATAAGTTAGTTTGTTTTACAGGTGTTGTTTGTAGATGCAGACATTTTTTAGGCATTAACGCTAAATATAATTTATAATGCATATATTTTGACAGTCATACATACCTTATCCCAGTATGCGGCACTTGCAGCATATCATATTTCGAAAAAACAAAGACTCTGCAGAATAAAATACTTAAAATACTATTTAATCTTGACTATCTCACTCATACTGAAGAGTTATATGAAATGCTAGGTCTACAACCATTAAATAAGATCCTCAGTATCGAGCAGTCAAAATTAATGCATAAAATTATCAATAATAAACTAAAATGTAATACAACCATAATTCACTTTAATCAAATTCATTACTATAACTTGAGAAATTGCAATGACATCCACCTGGCTAATGTAACAACAAACATTGCACTTCGAAATCCCATTAGTGAGGCATCAAGGACTTTCAATTCCCTTCCTACTAGGTTGAAAGACGAAAAGTCAAAAAATAGGTTTGTAAAGAATGTTAAAAATTACTTTAAGTGAACAATTTATTGTATTTTGCTTTGTTAATTATTTTGTAAGTAGTTGATTGATTACTATTTTAGATTAACGAACACCTTGTTAAAGTACTTAAAACTCCGATACCAGTGCTTCTTGCACTGTTTTTGGAGATTACCAGTAACTCGAGCAAGAAAAATATGAAATGCTATTTATTTGTAAAATGTATGTACAAAAAAAAGTATGTACAAAAAAAAATTAAGGAAAATAATTAGATGATGCATTTAAAAACCAGCCCATTTTTGAAAATAAGCTGTTTTATTGATCGATAACCGAAAATGGTGACAATTTTAAATTTCGGAATTGTAATCACCCCACCTTCTTAATTTCACAGCTGAATCAGAAGGAAAGCATAAAAAAAAACTCCATCCGCCAAAAGCGTCTGAGCTTCTGATGTGTTTCGGAATAGCGGACAGTTAAACCGCTACGAAGAGTTTTGCAAGAAGCTTGAAAAAATATATATCAATGCTTGAAACCTGCATATTTTATTTGTGTAAACGTTATTTTCTTATTGTCGGCTGTTGCCAAAAAAAATATACAAGGTGTTTGCCACTGGCCAATGTGTAATTATTAATTAAAACTACTTACTGATCATCATTTTTATCCACTTTATCAGATATAGTATAAACCATTTTTCACTTTGCACTAAAAAAACACCACCCCAGAAAATCTTCTAGCCGTTGTTATCCTTTCCGAAATGTTACCCACCGAACTCCCAGTTAAGTCAAACGAAAACAAAAACTTTCACTACTGCCGCTACTCCGAAAATCAAAAATCCACCGACGCTAAAATACCGCTAAATAATCCCGTCTAACTACTATGGTTTACGGTTGGCATTAGAATATTCTTAGCTTTCGGTTTTGAAGCGAGATAAATCCTTAAAATGTCCTTGCATTATCTCTGTTGCAAAGATTTTTTTTTCAAATTGACGAGTTGAATGTTATCCTACTATAAAATTAGCCTAATTATTTATTATTGGCAGGATTTTTGTATAGACTGCCATACGTTATTTTGTAAGCAGGTACGAGAATTGCGTAACCTAATTGGGTTAAATTTATAAATTTAATATGTTGATGGAAATTTACATGGTATTTTGGAGTTGACTTAGAAATTGGTTCGATTCGTACCTTGAATATGTAGAAAATATACATATAATTAATATAGCTAATGTAAAACATGTTAATTAACTTTCAGACACAGGTGAAGTGAAGGAAGAGAGGAATTTATTTTTCCTAATTTTTTCATTAAAATATGAGTGTTAAGAGTTCTCAGCCCCATCATAAGTGCCATCCGAGAGCAAGGAAATTAGCCTTCTAGATGCTTATTGATATTTTAATTTGGGAGAATTGCACCAGTATTTATTGATTATTTTCTATAAATATTTTTTCAAATCTAAAAAAGAGCTGAAAACAAGAACTCGTGCTTTAGAATAAAAAAATAGATGGCTTTCAAACTGATTTTTGTATCTCATCAACTGCACCCTCACTCCGTGATAACAAAAAGAATTCTCATTCTTTCTGAAAAGAAACATTTAGATACATTTTTCATCTTTAAATTTTTTTTTTTTTGTAAAACACATTCTCTCAGCACAATGTAGCTGTTTTAATAAGTTTTAAAAAGTCAAATTGTTGTGTGTCATATGATGTTTGTTGTGTTGTAATGAATCTCTCACCGTCTCATTACATGTATTTTACGGAATTTTACACCTATTTATTCAACCTACTCCAGTACACTTAAGGGTTGATCCTAAAAAAATTGGGGTCTATGTTCATATTTCGAAAACAAACATTTCGAATCTTTTATTTCGAAAATCAATAATTTCGAAAACATTTATTTCGAAAACTTTTATTTCGAATTACTTTTTCTTCGAAATTCAATCATTTCGAAAACATTTATTTCGAAAACTTTTATTTCGAAATACTTTTTTCTCGAAATTCAATCATTTCGAAAACATTTATTTCGAAAACTTTTATTTCGAATTACTTCTTTTTCGAAATTCAATCATTTCGAAAACATATATTTCGAAAACATTTATTGCGAAAGCATTCATTTCGAATGACTTGCCTTTCGAAATTCAATAATTTCTAAAATAATAATTTTGTTTGGGTTAGTTGTGAGTTTGCAATTTTAATCAGAAATTACCAAACTTACCAATAATAACCTGCTTAGTTTGGGTTAGTTTGCAATTTTAATCAGACATTAAATTGCAGAATAACCCAAACTAACCAGGTTATTATCGGTAAGTTTGGTAATTTCTGATTAAAATTGCAAACTAACCGGGTTATTATCGGTAAGTTTAATATTGTCTGCTGGAGCGCACTGCACAGAGGTCATATACATATGATAATATTATTGAGTGTTGAAATAAATGTTTTCGAAATTATTGAATATCAAAATTATTGTTTTCGAAATTATTGAAGATCGAAATTATTGTTTTCGAAATTAATGTTTTCGAAATTATTGAATTTCGAAAAGAAAGTAATTCGAAAAAAAAGTTTTCGAAATAAATCTTCTCGAAATGATTGAATTTCGAATAGAAAGTAATTCCAAATAAGAGTATTCGAAATAAATGTTTTCGAAATGATTGAATTTCGAAGAAAAGGTAATTCGAAATGAAAGTTTTCGAAATGCATGTTTTCGAAATGATTGAATTTCGAAAAAAAGGTAATTCGAAATAAAAGTTTTCGAAATAAAAGCATTCGAAATAAAAGATTCGAAATGTCTGTTTTCGAAATATGAACATAGACACAAAAAATTATTATAAAGCTGGGACTCATTCCAATTGTTAGTGTTTTAGGTTTTTATCAACATACTAAAAGTCCCTAAGTGTCCGTGTTGCATAACATCCCCAAATTATGTCCGCCATCTTGTATTTTGGCATATTTTTTAAGTTTTGTCAAATAACTTGAAATTCGTCAGAGATTCGAAAAAATGTCAGGAGGTAATTTTTATGTAAAATTGAAATAAGTACATTGTAGTGCTTATTTCACCTTTCTAGGCACAACTGTTTTCAAGATAAACAATTTTGAATTCTGCAGTAACATGAAAAAAAATAGTTTTACTCCATAAAATGTTATTTTTTCTACAAACACCAATATATCATTTGCTTTAAATAATATGTAGGTAGGTATGTAATTGCAATTTATTAAACTGCATAATATATTCGTATCCAAGGTCGAGTGCGAAATATGGCAACAGCGGATTGGATTTTCCAATGCTTATCCAGTTTTTTTGAGACCGGTAGGAGTTCTCCGTTTTATTTTTGTGAACACTATTGTTTTGTGAGTGCTGTTTTGTTTGTAATATATTAATCCAATTACCACAATCATTCTTAATAATCCAGAATTTCAATAAAAACCATTGGACCTACCTATATCAATAAGGTAAGCGATCTTATATTTTGTTTTAACACATAATTCTATATTTTTATCACGTCAATATTTACTAGTGCGCTGTCAATTTATTATTTTGATTTGGATTTAGTTTTAAAATTAATTTGTTTTCAACAGGTATTAGGTTTTTGGAGATTTTCCTCAGGGCTCAAAAGTGTTTGTTGAAACCTGTAACATAAAATATTTCGTATACTTATGATGTTTACCTAAAGGACCCCGCACATTTCTTATGGAAAAGTGATCTATGTGGAATTTTGCTGAATTTTTGATATTGTGTATAGGGAGTCGTCCCTAATAAAAGTGATCATTGCGCTAATGTTCAATACCCAACAGTTTTCAAGATATCAATTAAAAACTTTTTCAATAATACTCTTCAGTATGACGTCACTCATAGCAACGAAAATTATTACTATCCTTTCCACTTTTGACTTTTACTTTACTCTTCTCCTTTTAACATTAAGAAAAAAAAAAAAGATAGCGATAGCGATTAGTGACAAATAGGTAGGTATGTAAACAACATAGCTCCTGCCGCAATCGTCAACTTCATGTCATGATGTCTGTCATATAGCGATTTCATTTGTACCTGTTGTTGTTTTTTTTTTTATTTCCTAAATGTTAAAAGGAGAAGAGTATAAGTATAGGTAGTCGAAGTCAAAAGTGAAAAGGATAGCTCTAATTTTCGGTGCTGTGAGCATACTGGTGACGTCATACTGAAGAGTATCAAATTAAAAAAGTTTTTAATTGATATCTTGAAAACTGTTGGGTATTGAACATTAGCGCAATGATCACTTTTGTTAAGGACGACTCCCTATACACAATATCAAAAATTCAGCAAAATTCCACATAGATCACTTTTCCATAAGAAATGTGCGGGGTCCTTTTGATTGGGCTTTTATATATAAAGGCTGATCCAACTTAACAATATAATTTTTGATTTTTTTTTGAAAATAAGAGATGAATTTATACGAAATATTTTATGTAGCAAGTTTTAACAAACACTTTCAAGCCTTGAGGAAAAACTCCAGAAACCTAATACCTAACCAAAATAAATTAATTATAAACCAAAATCCAAATCAAAACAATAAATTGACAGCGAACTAGTAAATATTAACGTAAAAAAAATAGAATTAGGTATCTGTTAATGGTGGGTTTATAAAAAAAATTAACACTTAAACTAAGAATAGGGCAATCCAACGACCTGTCAAAAAGAAATTCAAAATGGAGGTCAATGCCTTTCTATTTTTAAAAAATGCCGTTTTATTGCAATTTTTGGTTTGTATAAATAATAATAATAATAATAATAATAATAATCGCCTTTATATTACGAAAAAAAGAAAAATACATTTTACAAGAACGTTAAGAAAGATGATAAATCAAGCATGCTAACGAATGACGCACTCTAGTTTATAGCTACTCCACTGAACCATGCGAAAGCAAGAAGTACAATTTATAATAAATAATTTTATGCAAAGTAACTAACAAATTTTGTTGTTGTAAACTATTGTTGAGAAGCCTGTCCCTTTTTTTTTCTACATTATACCCACACAAGTTATATTTCATAATATGAGAAAATAAAACAAATAACTAGTTAGAAATTTTAAGTAGGTACCTTCTATGTCTCACTTTAAATGTCTGGACCTTTAAATGAGTTAAACCCGGAGGTAAGGAATTAAAAATTTTCACTGCATTATAAGTAAATGACCTCTGAAACAGGGCAGTCTGATGGTGCGGCATAGTCAATCGCTCACAATGACGTATGTCAATGGAGTGCACACTTGCACGAGGGATTAAGCGCTCACGAATTGAGCAAGGTGCTTCAGGATTGTTCAAAATCTTTATCATGAATGTACAAAAGTGCAGAAGCCTACGAGAATCCATCCGAAGCCAGTTTAATTCAGCAAACGTATGAGAAATATGATCAAATTTTCTAAGCCCAAAGATGAAACGGGCACAGGCGTTCTGCACCCCCTGTACACGAGATTTACTCTCAACATCCAGGCAAGGACCATATACCATATCACAGTAATTAAAGTTGGAAAGTAAAAGAGATTCACGAAGCGACTTTCTAAGTGTAACATTTAATATATGTCTGTTATTGTATAAAATTTTTAAAGTTGTACATGACCTTTGAAATATTTTTTTCAAATGTTCTTTAAACCGTAATTCACTATCCAAAATCAACCCCAAATTTCTAGCAGAATTAACAACTGGTAATCTCACATCGTTTAGTTTGATATTAATATTATTTTTTAGGAAATCAACCTTATTTTTATTACAACATACGATAAGATTTGGATGGGTTTAACAATAAGTTATGTTCATTTGAGAGTTCAGTTAAAGTTTTTAAATCCCGGTTAATAAGCGTTTCAGAGTCTAAATACCCCTCAAAATCAAAACAGCAATAGACCTGTGTGTCATCCGCATAAGCCTGGACCTTGCAGTAATTTAGTGACCTTAAAATATCAGACGTATAGATAAGAAAAAGTAACGGCTCCAATACTGAACCCTGCGGAACACCGGACATTATATTGAGGTCACCAGAGTACCTATTCTCAGAAAAGATTG